GTGTGTGTGTGTGTGTGTGTGTGTGTGTGTGTGTGTGTGTGTGTGTGTGTGTAATCTTCCTACTCTATTTTCCACTGCATGCATCCGATGAAGTGGGTTTTAGCGCACAAAAGCTTGTGCTCAAATAAATTCGTTAGTCTCTAAGGTTCCACAAGTACTCCTCGTTCTTTTTACAATAAATCAAAAAGTTTGTGGAAACCTAAATGTGCTTCCCAACTCTTATTATAGGTGGGGCTGGCAGTACTACCTATTAATAAGAGTGCCTGCCACTTCCCATTTTAAGACCCTGTTTTCAGTTGCTTATAACTTTCCCAAATTTTAGCTCTTTGGGCTGCAATTTTTTGTGGCAAGTATCTGTGTCAGGATGAACTTTATTTGGAAAATTTCAGACAAAATGGTTCAGCTGTTTCCTAGAATAAGGCTAGGGATAAAGACTCTGGTGACCTTTTCTATGAGAAGCTCTCTAGTTGTCTCCACAGTTTGGAGCAGAGACTTGAAATTTGGCAGGGGAGTGGCTATTGTGTCAGGGATGTTTGCTTTCCCATTGAAAATCTGCCCAAATTTGGCTAAAGTATAAGCCTTTGAAAAATTGCAGTAGGGCATCCTCTCTAGGTATTTACTAGATCTGAGTCTCTCTCCTGTGCTCTCAGTGCTCTCCTTGCCGGCATTCTAGCAGTGTGGAGGAGAAAGCTGCCTGAACCAACTGCAGAGGGGACAAGAGCCAAACTTGGGGCTGTGGCAGGGGGAGCAAAAAATGGGAAAAGGAGCCTTTGGGGTGTAGAAATGGCTGGGCTAAGAGACTGGGATGAGAATCCTGAGGAATGGGGGCTGAGGTTGGCTAGGTAAGAAGAATGGGACTGGTATGAGAAGCCAGAAGTTGGGAAGAGATGGGACTAGAGTAGGGCAAAGCTGCGGGGAAGGGGCAAAAGGGTTGAGCTTGTGGAATGGGTAGAAAAATATGTGCCCACTAGAGCTTGGAATAGAGCACTGTTCCCTCCAGAGCTTGAAGTGGAATCGAAGATTCCTGTTTTCCACAAATATCTGTGAAATCCAGTGTCCGTGTCTCATCCCCTCTACTGCTAGTCCACACACAGTTCGACAACTTACTACTGCTGCCATTTACTCCATTAGCTCACATGGCAGAGGACTACGTGTTGGATCAAAACTATGTTAAAAGAACATGATTAAGGTTGCAGAATCAGGAAATACGAAGGTATTTAGTATTAAGGTTGCCTATGCAATCTTAATTGAGCCGCCTTGGGCATATGCATTATGGTACAGTCTTTAACTATGTAACGTAACATACTATTTTTTCCACAAGACCCCTTCCTCATTCAGTGCACAGGCTAGACCTGTTATGTGATGAATCCGAGTTGTATAGTAAAGGAGAGTGTTGTCTGTAGAACTGCTACTTCAGTTGCATAAGTTGGAAGGCGTGTAGTGAATGAGGCAGGGGATTGCAGGAAGAGAAAGGATGATCTCTTGGTTCAGGCAGTGGAATGCTGCCCTGGGAAGTAAATTCTACCCGTGCCCTGCCACAGAGTGATGCTGGGCAAGTCACTTAAACTAAACTTTTCACAGGTGGTCAAAAATTGTGTGTATGTGCCTCATTTTCTGGGTGCCTGTCTTGAGACCCTGGGCCCCATTTTACAAATGGGGAACTGAGGCAAAGAAAGATTAAGGTAAAAAATATCCATTAATTTTGGATACCCAATTTGACATGCCAAGGACCTGATTTTTCAGAGTGCTTAGCATTATTTTAATACTCAATAGCTTCAAAACACAGTTCCCACTGTCTTCAGTTGCGAGCGCTCAACACTTCTGCAAATCAGGTCTCAGGGTCTCAAGTGAGGCACCCAGAAAATGAGGAGAACACAGTTAATGACCACCTGTGAAAAGTTAGGCTCAAGTGACTTTCCTAGTCTCTAGGGACTCCCGCAGAGAAACTGAAAATATGTTATGTATCTTTACAGTGCCTAGCACAATATGAGGGCCCCAGGTGCTACCACAATATTAATTTAATAAAGGAAATGCTGTTACATAGTCTAAAATGACAAATGTATTATCATTGTTCACAGGTATTCGACAGCTTCAGCTTATCCTCTTCAAAGTTGCACTTATGCTGGGAATTGAAATCCATGTGAACGTAGAGTTTGTGAAAGTTCTGGAACCTCCTGAAGATCAGGAAAACCAAAGTATGGATGACTTGTGACTTCAAATCACAAAATTAAGAAGCCAGTAACTTTGTCCTATTGAATTACTCTCATTGTATGAAATAACTGTATTATCATTTGGGAAATAATTTCTAATCAAGCCAAGGTAGCCACACTTCCTCTTAAAGAAACTTGTGCCTTTCTTATGAAACGGTGTATGGAATTGCAAGCATGATAACTGTCATTGTATCAATATACTGATCCATTTAAAAAATATGCCTGGGCCAGAGAAGTAGAGGTTTCTCACTATGCCTGCTGGCATGTGCTTGAGGTTTTGTAGGGAGGCTAGTATGGCCTGCTGCTGTCTTCTTGGCATGAGAATTTTAGATTGATAAATATGAATTTTGAGGATATCTTTAAGCCCCATGAGCCAAATGTTGCTCTTTCTTCCATCGTATGCGACTCCCATTGACAGTTAGTACCCTATCAGAAGTTAGCCATTCTCATTGAATGGTATTTACCAGTATGTATAAATACGGCTGCGAGTCTGTCACAGACATCATGGATTCCGTGACTTTCCGGGACCTTCGGAATTTCTGCAGCGGCTGGTCGGGGGGCCACCTGACCAGTTCAGGCAGCCCTTGGGCCAGCCGCACTAGCCACTGCTGGGGCAGTTCTCGGGCCACCGCCTCCCCCACAGCAGCAGCAGGAGGCATTTTGGGTGTGGGAGGGGGCTCCGGACTGGGGGTTGGAGCACTGGAGGGGGTGAGGGGACTCTGGGCCGCACTTCCCTTGCAGGGCTCCCCAGAAAACGGGCGACATGACCCTCCCTCCCTCAGCTCCTGGCTCTGTGCACTGCCTCCACCTGCAGACACCACCTCCACAGCTCCCATTGGCCATGGTTCCCAGACAATGGGAGCTGTGGAGCCGGCTCTTGGGGCAGAGGCAGTGCGCGGAGCTAGGAGCTGAGGGAGGGACATGTCCCCACTCCCAGGGAGCCGCAAGGAGCCACGTAGGGAGCTTGCCAGCCCCACCAACTTCTCCCCCCAGCACCAGTGGAGGTCCTGGGCCGTGCACTGCCGCCCCCCTCACCCAGCACCAGCAGGGGTCCTGGGCTGCCCATGGCTCCCCCCCCCCCCCCCCCCCCCAAATGATTTAGTCGGGTATATAGTACAAGTCATGGACAGCCGTGAATTTTTGGGCCGTGAATTTTTGTTTACTGCCCATGACTTTTACTAAAAATACCTGTGACTAAAACATAGCCTTAGTTTATAACGTGGTGCAAAAATTTAATATAGAGTGAGCAAGTTTTCCATTTTATATCTTGGCGGCTAATACTACTTCTGTGTTGTTTTTAATTGACTGTGGGTAGATGAAATGAGATAAAGGGATACTAGTTATGATTGTCAGTATTTGTATTTAGAATATTTGTCATTAATAAAGTACAGGTAATACAAACATTTTCAGATTCTGTTTTAGGTTAATGAAAGTGATGCATCTTTCTCCAAAAGGTTGTAGCATTTTGGCTAGATTTTATTTTTCCCTCTCTTTGTGTTAGATTAATTGGAATCTGCTTAACAGTTTTTAAAATAAAACTATTAGGGTCCAATTCTGCAAACACTTACACATGTGAGTGAGTCGTCGCATTGAGTTCAAGCTGGAACTACCCACGTGAGTAAATTCACTTGTGTATGTATTCACAAGATTGGGTCCATAGTCAACATAATGTTTTATATGATCCAAATGAAGGCGTTCCTTTCTGCCGTCAGCTTGCAAGCTTAACCCTCATTAACGTTAGTGAGAGTGGCATGCAGCTTTGACGTCAGTGGAAGTTGTATGCAGATGTCTGAGGGCAGATTTCGGTTCAGTTTGAAAGGAAAATACTCTTTTTTTTTTTTTTTTTTATCCTAATTGCTTTCCTTCACATTCTAACAATGCTTCTTCTGTAACAGTGCAATATCTGAATAAGTTTTATTACTTGTTTCTTTAGAGATAGGTTGGCGGGCTGAATTTCTCCCAATGGATCACCCTCTGTCAGCATTTGAATTTGATGTTGTTATTGGTGCAGATGGTCGCAGGAACACTTTAGAAGGTGGGTAAAAAGATATTCTTAAGCTCAATAACTGTCTTAAAGTACAGTGGAAAGGCTAAGAGCTAAGGAGAACAGAAGGGAATGGGTTTTCTCCTTCTCCCTGTCCCTCTCCCTCTCCTTCAATGCATAAGTGTTTGCGTATATGATAGTGGAAATTCCTTTATGGCGTGTCTCCCGCCTTTATTATAGTGTTTTCAGCTGTACCCCAACAAGTGAGACATTTACTTAATTACTGATTCTTAGGGCCATCTCTGCCAGTTTGTAGGGATCATATTGTGGTGGTTAGTACACCTCTACCCCGATATAACGCGACCCGATATAACACGAATTCGGTTATAACACGGTAAAGCAATGCTCCGGGGGGGGCGGGGCTGCGCACTCCAGCGGATCAAAGCAAGTTCGATATAATGCGGTTTCACCTATAACACGGTAAGATTTTTTTGGCTCCCGAGGACAGCGTTATATCGGGGTAGAGGTGTACCATAAGTCCCTACTGCAAGGTTAACAAATAACATGCTGGTTTAATTTTATGGTGATTGACAAAAATGTTTTGGGAACCGCACATTCTTCATGTCATTGTCTCATAAGTCAGCTGAATATACTTGAAATAATGATCATATGGTGACTGCCTGGTATTTAATGAACACAGCAGAGGAGTTGTTCTTGGACAGTGGTGATTAATATCAGAAGTAGTCATTTCAGTAACAGATGTAAGAGATAATAAATAACTGGAAGGAAAGGAAGGTCCTGCTGTTACATCTCTTACAGTCATCAAACAGAATTCCAACCCCCTGAGTTGCTTTTGTGAGTGAGACATTAGCTAAGGCGCTCTGGCGTCGCATGAACAAACCTGTTACTTAATTACATGTTCTTCTGGTAGCTTTAATTATACTCATGTTAGTTTCAATTCACCAAGTTCCTGATTTCCCTTTTTATTAGTCTTAGTTTGCTCCACATGTCAGCTTTTTCTCCTATCTGCCAAACACAATACGGTGCTTATAGATTTTTTTTTTTTTTTTTCCTTCCCCCTGTAACTTTTTAAAAGAAAATTTTGGTCACACTTCCTTGGGTGTCTTTGCAGAAAGTCTGTTGCAGGATTCACACGTCAGCAAAACAAAATTACTGCCAGTGTAACCTGTTGGGGATTGCAGACACTAGCAAAAATCTTGGTGGCCCCTTTAAAAAAAATCATCTGGCTAAGTGAAAGTATTTAATGCACACCATAGTTGATCAGACCAAAGACATTCATAAAATAGTGATAATTTGCACATTTATACCTACCCCAAGCAAAGGGTGAGGTCAAAACTAGAACAGAAACACACACCTACAGACAAATCACTATATACTGTGAATTTCTTTATTTTCCCTGATACTGACTATGAAATACACTAGCTGAAAGTCATAATTTTTGCCATTGGTTTAAACTACTCCCTAGGATCCTGATCCTGCAAACATGAGTCTGCTTAAGTTTACACACACAAGGTTTTAATGGACTGCTCAAATGCATAAACATAAGCAGATGCATATTTGCTGGATCATGACCTACTGTCTCGCTCTCACACATGCTTTCTTTCTATCTTTCTCATAGTTGTAGGAGCCAAATATTTTTCAAATTTTCTGTGTTCCTCCTCTTGATTGTTGACAACTTGATATTTTTTTTTTTTTTTTTTTTTTTAAGACTAACCAAATAGTAAGTGCTACCAAAACTCTGGCTTTTTCCCAAGTAGCTTTTACAAATGTTCTCCCTCATGGTTTTAAAATTTTCAAGTAATGAATACATGGGTTTGTTTTTGCTGCACACTTCCCTCTTTCTCCCACCCCAGAATAAAAAATAAACCACCAAACAAAAATCCAACCTTCAACTTAATGTTGTATATCTTCATTATAGTACCATGCATGTATCTGCAGGTCTTTTGGGGATGGGAATATGCAGACACTTGAAATGAAATGCGTGGGATTTTGGAAAAAAGGAGGAATCCACTGGCCATAAACTGGGGGCTCGATTGGTATTTGTTTGTGAAAGAGAGAGTGGTCAATGCCTTGAAGGTTTCCCCCATCCCAGAGCATGGTTGTAAAAACTTTGGCTGGTTTTACACACCAGCCAGGGTTACAAGAACTTCTCTCTGGATTGCCAGTCTTAAATTGTCACTGAAGGGGTATGATAGCACTAAAATGTTGGAGGGATGTAACCCAACTTTGTTTAATAAGGCTGCAAAAGCTAAGTAGTAATGCAGTATTTCAGAACGTTTGAAATTAGCAGCCTTAAACTTTTCAAGATATGTGGGTCAGCCTCAACAAATGAACCTCAGTGTTGCAGTAATGTTAATTCTTTCCCTTGTTCTCCAGGTTTTAGAAGGAAGGAGTTTCGTGGAAAGCTGGCTATAGCTATCACAGCCAACTTTATCAACAGAAACACAACTGCAGAAGCCAAGGTAGAGGAAATTAGTGGTGTTGCTTTCATCTTCAATCAAAAATTCTTCCAGGACCTTAAAGAGGAAACGGGTAGGTCCTCATTCTCATTTTTTTCATGACCAAACAAAATATACGGTAGGGCAACTTGATATATACAGGACCACCCACCTACCCCACTCCAAAAATAGTTTATAATATATTAAATAACATAATGCAATAAAATTCTGCTGATTTCAAAGTCTTAGGGAGGGAGGTGTTCATACAATGGAATTTTTTTATCATGGGTGTTACCACATCCTAGAACTTTTGGTGTTTTCATTTTTCTCAACTGTAAAAAATATTTTTGATACAAACTATAACTTTTTGTGAGAGAACATTCTCAATACCTAAAGATTTCCCATAAGGAGAGCATGCTTTGATTTCTTTGTATTAGTTCACGTATTGTATGTTTTAAGCACCTCATAAAATATGCTCACTTGCTTTCTTGGAAGTATCATTGTCTATTTGTTAAGAAAGTACTTTTTGAAGTGCATGTTGGTTTGCTGTCAATAGGCTTTTATATCACTTTAAAATAAAATATAAATAGTTGATTTAAAGCCATTCACCCTAAATTATATAAACTGTATCTTGGCTTAAACCTTCATCCTTGAGTGTGTGAAAAAGGGGCCCAGAATAGGGAAACATCCACTTGAAGTATACTAAGGTTATATACTTCCATTCCCTGGTTTCGGGAATATACTTCCATTCCCACATTGCAGCCTGTATTTTAAATTAACGATTTAGGCACCATGCACTTGATCCTAGTCCAGTTTAAATCAATGAGCATTTTATTGGAGCCGTAGCTAGGCCTATGGCAGCCTACACATTTTGTGTCAAATATGGATCATATTTTCCCTTTCTTAGAAGATTTAGAATGCTAATAATAGCTACAAATATTTTACAGCTGGTCAAGGACTTTCTTGTATTCTGTGTTTTGGGGCCCCTTTGTTCTATGCACTCTGAAATCTCAACTGGGGACTCCAAGTATTTATATTTGGGAGGTGCTTGAACTAAACTTAAATGAAAGATATTTGTGGGGACTATATCCATTATTAATTTCAAATGGCTAAACTAATGAAAACATTCATTTAAGTTAGGTTTTCTTCACAAATGTCTTGTCGTCTTTTCAGGAATTGACCTGGAGAATATTGTTTACTACAAAGATAGCACTCACTATTTTGTAATGACAGCAAAAAAGCAGAGTCTTCTGGACAAAGGAGTGATTATCAATGTATGTATAGATGCAGGGCAAAGCCCTCTATTTTATTTGTTCCTTTATTTAGTTGGTGTTGTCAGATGCTACCGGTGTGGTGCTTCTGCTTTCTCCTGTTGATATCACTCGGCTGCGTGCGTGTGTTCCCTCTGTGTGCTGCCCCAGCTCTGCGCAGATAGCTGATACAGCAGACCCGACGAGAATCCCCAATAACCACAGAGTCTTAGTAAGATGCAAAGTCACCTCGGACTAGGTTTATTGCCATCTCGGACACAATGGCAGTTCCCCGTAGATTACTTAGTCTACCGGGCATACTACGAGAAAGTGCCTCTTGGCAAGGACCCGGCTCAGTGGCGGGACTTTCCACTGCCCCCGTGGCCGGACAAAGACACCACCCCAGGGATACATTTTTATACACAGGTACAAACAAGTTACACATCACTCCTGACGTATTGAGGTGCAACCCCTCTACGCAGCAAGGTACAACCCTTCTACGTAATAAGGTGCCGCCTCGCACCTTGTACCTGTTGGTTCGATCAAAACAACTCTATCCATCATTTTACCCTTTTGCCCCTGCCATTGGGATGGGTCGGCCTGTTCCATGTTATCTGTGGAATGTTTCGGTATAGTGTGTCTTGGTACCATATTTATACTGTAACTATGCTAAGTGGTTATATATTTATGCAACATCAGCCCTTTCCTTGCCAGCTTCTGTGAGCAGGGCCTGCCTCTTGCTCACAGCTTAACTTTGCTTTATGTTAGCAGAGTCTTGACCATTACTTTAGTTCAGGCCTCAGGCCTCATACTGGGCCGTTATCAGGGCCTTTTACTTACTACAGTTGGTTGAGACTACATGAGAGCGGCTGAACAGAAGGTTTTAATTGACTCATTTAATCATTTTATGATTAGAGTATGACTCACTTAGATGGTGGTTTACCTGTGTTTGGTTGATTTTTACAGTGAGAACACAAAACTCAGAACTGAAAATGGTACTGCTTAAATGTCAGTTCAGAAACTGGTTGTAATATGATCTTGAGTCACCCTGGAAGAGTCATTGGCTACGCAGGCATTGATATCACTGAAGACAATAAACCTCAGTGACTCAAAAATCAAATTAGAGAAAACTGTGTATGCTCAGCCAGCAAACTGAGAGAGCCTCAGATAGAGTCCAACACTGAAATATTAAATTGTCCAAAATGGATGAAAGGCAACAGGAAGGTCACTTCTAAACAAGTCCGCCTTTATAAACAAGTTTCAAAGTACCTAGTAATTCTTGGGCGTCTAAACTGAGATGGTTTAAAAGGCCTTAATTTTCAGAAACTGAGTGCTCAGCACTTTTGGAAAATCAGGCCCCTTCAAGATGTTTCCTGTTAGGCATCCAAAAATCACTTGTCATTTTGTAACCTTGCCAGAATAGTCATAACAGACTAGAATCTTCCTGGGAGGAAAGGAAGTACCTGTATGTGGGCTATCAAAATCTTGTTTGGCATGTGGTTGCTATTGATGAGACAAAGTTGCCACCCTTTTTGGAAACTGCTTCTCTGGTGAATCTTTGGTAATTATTTTCAGCTTAGAGTGTAGAAGGGAGTTCAGCGAGGCAGAGAGATTGGGGTATTCTCACCATTGTCACCACACTCCCACTTTGAGCAGCCTCCCCTTAATGACTTGCCACAGGCTGGGACTCTGGGACTTACCATCACACCAGTGGGCCACCCCATCCCTCCCAATCCTGAAAGATGTTCAGAACGGACCAGTCGATGGAACAAAATGACATCACGGTCTCCAGGACTGTGACCCGGATGACTCCTGCGATGTGAATCTAAGACTCCTCTTTCCTGTCTTTCATGTTGTCTAAAAGAGTCCATCTTAGTCACCAGGACAAATCTAACTTTGCAATGCTTTGCCATGACCACTTTTGAACTAAAAGCAATGTTGTGCAGCCTGACTTCAGGGTTGGGCTGGTTAGTTTTTGTTTAAATGCCTTCCATGGACTGCCCAGAGGACAACAGAGGAATCTAGCCAAACCCCTTTCCCTACCCAGGTGGGTAAAGCTGAGATACTGGAATGGCTAATTGGATCATGTGCCATGTGCTGTGACTGTGGCTTTCCAGCAACTGTACTGCAACGAAGTGACAGAAGCTGCATTTCCCAAACTTGAGCTAATCTTTTTTCTGTCCCCTATAGACAGGATCAGACTTCAACAATAAAACCTGATAGTTACTAATCTCCCCAACAAGAACATTTAGTATCATTTTAGAGACTGACAAGTAGATATTTCCAGTGGGGAACAAATGCCTGAAATTGTCTTGAGTTTCAAATGTTTTAGGTTTTTTGTTTTTTAAATGTTGTGGGAGGTGTTAGATGTACAACAAGCAAAACCAAATTCCTGTCAACAGAGCCATAGATACAAATTTCTGTTCCTTTCATATTGCCACAAAACTAACACAGTATCGTCAAAGGAATTCTATTCCAAAAGCACTGTCCCATTGTCTGGCCTTGCAGGAAGAAAAACAGGAGGCGATGGATGTGGTTTGAGCAGGCTACAACTTGATTCATTTAAAATATCTGGGAGTACCTGGCAATAAATTGTGCAGTGCAGGATATAATTAAATTTCACATCTTTGGGAGAGGTACTGTCAGCCCTCCCCCTTCCCAACCTAGTCAAAGCCAGCCCATTGCTGGGACCTTGCCTCCCTCCCTCATATAAGAGTTAAGGGGCCTGAAAAGGAAGAGCCAGACACTACAAGCCCTCAACCCTCCACTTAGCTTTCTTAAGCGCTGCTTTCCTCTAAATCCCCTTTCCAATCCATTTTATCCAGTAACTGTATCCTTTCCATACTGAATATCTGCACTGGACATCTGCCACAAAGAGACACTAGTTTGGCTGCCTCACTGCTACCCTAGCTGGGTTCCCAGATATTTGCTGATATTTTTATCTAACATTAGGGAAAGACTGTTTCTTCCCCATTCAGATGGGTGTACTCCATTCTCCCTGAAGTTGGGCGCCCAGTAAAATATGTCCAGATGAAGCGGGTTTCTCTGGAACATCCCCTTCTCTGGTCACCTGGAAGGGCAATACCCCCTTCCTCCCCACCTGATCCAGCCACTGCCTGTTCAAACTGTTCCAGTCAGGTAAACTTTCCTCTTCCTCCCTCTCTGCTATCAATTGCAGAGGGATCCCCTTATAGGGGCAACACTGCATGCAGCTGTTGCGAGGGCATTTGCACAGCATTCACCATCACTTTTCTCATCTTAATCCTATTCTCAGGACTCTCTCACAATATGTACACGTTCAAACAAATCCTGTTGTGGAGCTAGAGGCACTTAACCAAGGTCACAGGCAATTGGCACATCCACACCATTTCTTTGATCCATTTGTGTCTCGTGCTAAACACAACCTGTCTAGAGATAACTGGGCTAATAGCTGTTCTGCAGCATCATCCATCTAGAATGTGCCAGGTCAGGGGTCTCATCCATGATTAAGTTGGAAATAGAAATCGCCTTATCAGTTACTGACCATAAGCAGCATGACCCATAAAGAAAGAGTCCCTGCGAAGTTGAGCAGTTTTCCTCAAACAAATTCTTTCCTTGCCCAATTTGTAGATAGTCTATTATGTCTTACACAGTGTCCATGTATATACAGTTTTAAGCCATAGGCTCATCATTATCCGGTCATATATGCCAGATCACTCGTCACTCAATAGGGTGACCCGCAAGTCCTAAAGTACAATATTCTCAATAGTGATGGGACACGAAAGACAGACTGCATTGCATACTGATAACTAGTGGTGGTGATACCTTCTCAATAGGAGGGTAGTAAATTTACCAAAATAACATGTAGCTAAGGGGAGGAGGGTGAGGAAAGCACCATCTTCTGTTGTAAGTAGTAGGGCTTATTCGGCTTGCTTCATCGAGAGTTATTTCTGGATTGGGCTTAGTATATAGTTTAAAATATTAAGCAGTGTGTTTACATATTAACAAGTTTTCTAAATATTTAAGTAGCAGCCAAATTTCTCTCAGTACTTTGCCACAAGATGTGATGTTGCCATCCACTATGTGCTATTCTATTTTCTGTCCCTGCATCAGAATATTTTAAAATCTCTCATGTTGCTGGTGTTTTTGTCTCTTCAGGACTGTATTGATACCGAGATGCTTCTCTGTGGGGAAAACGTAAACCAGGACAATCTGCTGTCTTATGCAAGGGAAGCTGCAGACTTTGCAACCAATTACCAGCTGCCTTCCTTGGATTTTGCGATTAATCACTATGGGCAGCCAGACGTGGCTATGTTTGATTTTACTTCCATGTATGCCTCTGAAAATGCTGCACTAATAAGAGAAAGGCACAGACATCAGCTCTTAGTTGCCCTTGTTGGAGATAGTTTACTTGAGGTATATCTAGCAGCAACAACAAAAAGCATTTTGAATTCCTTAAAGTAAAAATATGTTTTTATGCTGTAAGAGGAGTTTGGTTTGGTTTTGTTAAACCCCAGATTCAGGTACTTTGGTAAATGCATTCAGATTGCCACCTCCTGGTTATTATACTGTCAAAATAAGCAATGTGAATTTTATCTGGTAGCCGACATAATCATAAATCTTTCCTGAAAAGAATAGAATTAAGAAGATTCAGAAACCAGCTGAGCTGGCCACATGTTTAATAATATCTAGTAACAGACAGCATTTTTACTTAGTTTTTAAGCGTGTTCATAATTTCTATTTGTTTAAAGGGACACTGACAAGTTTTGAACTTTTTTAAATGACTCATTTTTTAAAAGCTGCAATTTCTCAATGAATACCATTAAATAGAATGGCTGGATTTAATTTTTTTTCTTCCATTCCTATAAGATTCTTTAAGGAGAAACAGGAAATAAGGGGGAAACAGTGAGGCTGCTTCTACATAAAACACTGGCAAATACATAAAGTATAAAGAAACAAAAAATCCAGAGAAATATTTTGTTACATGCTGACTTCTTTAATTATAATAACCTTTAGGTGCCACTTTAAATTACAGTGTGATTAGGTACAACACTTTGACAGACAACTTTGCTTTAAAAAAAACAACAAAAAACCTCTAAAGTTGGAGGGGGAGTGACTCCTTGTTGGTCATGTCAGTTGTACTAACTGTGGGCCCAATACTGCAGACACTTGCTCATATGTGTAAGTTTACGTACATGAGTAATTCCAGGGAAATCTTCAAAGAAGTTGCTTGTGTGTGTAAATGTTTAAGTTACTCATTATTATTCATGCTTGTAAATGTCTGTATCAGAGTGTTGTGGCATTATGGGCTTTCTTCAGGATGTCTTGCACGAAATGGAGTATGTGTTGTTTACTGGGCTGACATATAAACTCGCATTGCCATTAGGGATGGCCTAAGAATGTCAGTGGACCCTCTTTACTTTGTCTTACAACAGGGGTTCTCAAATTGAGGGTCGGGACCCCTCAAGGGGCCGTGAGGTTATTACATGGGGGGTCGCGAGCTGTCAGCCTCCACCCCAAACCTCACTTTGCCTCCAGCATTTATAATGGTGTTATACATTAAAAACACTTTTTTTCATATATTTAAGGGGGGGTCTCACTCAGAGGCCTGCTGTGTGAAAGAGGTCACCAGTACAAAAGTCTGAGAACCCCTGTCTTACAATAAATGTTGTGAAATGTTGGTGCTTTTTTCTTTACAATGGAATTTTCTTTCATTTTCATACTATAACTTGTCAGTAACTAATGCCTGGCTAATGATCTCTGATGCGGATTCCACTTGTGTATATAACACAAGTTGTGTTTCACAGCTGAAAACAGGGAGCCAGGTCCTTGGTTGGTGTAAATGGCATAGTTCCCTTGACTGCAGTCCCAGTTAGTCAACTGTCCTGCTTTGTACTTTTGATGCTGGAAGTGTAGTTAGAGTGAACAAGCAGTGTACTCAGTATCGCCAACCCCCGATGTTCAGAATTCATCTATCAGATCCCCAAAACATTGTGAGATTGGCTTAAAAATCAGGAGGGTTGTTTTTTTTTTGTTGTTGTTGTTTAATAATAAGAAATGTTGGATCTTTCTACTTCCCTTCTGGTTTTTGAATGTTTTAGGGTTCACATTTTCCAGCTGTTCTCTGCATAAGTGCTGGAAATTTCTTTGGACAATGAATATACAAATACAAAATGGAAGCTGAGATTCTCATGCCTCCAGGAGCTGAGGCTTTGAGAAAAAACACCAAATATTGTGAGAGCTGGCAATACTGTATACTAGAACTTTCTCTGGCCTAGCATCTCAGAATGTGTGAAAACCTAGCCTGCAAGCCCACCTGGCAACTGCTTTGGTGATAAGTCTCTTATTAAGAAAGATGAGGGATAAATATGGCTAAACTGTAAATACTCTTTACAGCCCTTCTGGCCGATGGGTACTGGCTGTGCAAGAGGCTTCCTAGCTGCTTTTGATACAGCATGGATGGTGAAGAGCTGGGATCAAGGAAAACCCCCACTAGAGATCCTTGCTGAACGGTAAACACTTCCTTTCTTTTTCCCCTCCCATTTAAGCAAATTTTAAGGGAATACGGTGATGGTAGAAGATGTTCAAGGAACAGCGCAAGTAACAGAAGTATTCTGCTTACCTGTGGTGGCAGTCAGTTCATTTAGGCTACTGAACAGTTTTCAGATGGCAGTGACCTCTGGGCCTGGTCCTGCAAGTTACACTCTGCTGGTGCAAGGGTCCACTGATATGGAGTAATCTGAAGGATTAGGGCCTAAGTGACTATTGACCTGACCCAGATTGAAACTTTGAGGAAGAGGTGTAAGGCTTGGTATCAAATGACTAGCCCTGCAAATCTTCTGGTCCCCAAGCACTTGTTGTGAAATAATCTGCTTTTAGTCAAAGAACACACATGTCTTAGCAGCAGTAGTCTTCAGAATTGGCACCTCCATTTTTTAGCTGAGCCTTTTAGTTCATGCTGGGAACGTGATGTGACTTTTATTGACTCTGTTAAATGTGCAACAAGCAAGAATCTGCATAGCTTTTAATCATAAGTTCTTTTCTATAATCTATTATTCACTGTCCTAAAAACTGTTATTAAAGGCACCAACAAAAAATTTTTTTTGCATGGCGATGGCCTGAATTTGCTGACCTTGTTTAGTGGTTCCAGTGGCAAAGATTTGATACTGTTACAGCTGGTCAGGATGTTTTAGAAACTGATGTATGGTAGCTGTTTGGGAGCAGTATTGTTTGCGGTAATTATGAGATCAGGACTATAAGTGCAGTGCTGTGTGAGGAATGAGAAGGCAGATGTTTGTGGATGACTCAGAGAAACAGAGCAATCCCAAATGGAAAATTGAATGGAGTAACGAAGGAAGGGCCTAGTGGTTGGGTGAATTGCAGGATGACTGGATCTAATGCTGTTTTGTGGTAAAAGGAGAAGTTACCCCTTGGGTGGAGATTAAAGCAAAACCAGATGTCTTTGCATGACGTAATCTTACTTCTTTCTTGCTCTCTTCCTGCCTCAGGAAGATACAGTCATCACGTAAGTGTCTGTCTCAGGTTTGGGTTGGAAAATTTCTCATGCTGAGACAGTATTGGCAGTTGGTGCAGATGCAGGTTTAGTGCAGGGTGCTAATCATTGACCGATTCTAAATAAAGGTGAGGGCAATTACAAAAGCAATGTAGGAAAAAATGGTTGCGCTCTGTCTTCAACTGACACTTCTTTATTATTGTCTGTCAGAGAGAGCATTTATCGACTATTGCCCCAGACTACACCCGAAAATATCAACAAGAACTTTGACCAGTATACCATTGACCCAGGAACGCGCTATCCCAACTTGAACTCCAGCTGTGTTCGACCTCATCAGGTCAGTTCTTTAAAGGCTCACTTTACAAAATCACAATCCATTTTTGTCCCAGGAGTCATATGGCTGCAGTTGAAATGCTGCATAAACAAAACTTTCATGAGATTCTCTGGATGAGGTCAAGTTACCCGATAAAGTTCACGTGAAAAGAAAATATTATATTAAAATCACTTGCAGTGGTTCATGTACTCATGTTCAAATTGTTTTTGCTTTAGGTTAGACATTTGTATGTTACAAATGAGCTACAACAATGCCCTCTTGAAAGGGTCAGCTCTATTAGAAGATCAGTGAATGTCTCAAGGCATGGTATGTGAAATTTTCTGCCTGGTATGATTCTTTTACATTTCATGTTCAGAGCATGTAAGTGACTGAAATGTTCTCCCTATATTACACCTGCAGAATCCGATATTCGACCTAATAAGCTTTTAACCTGGTGTCAGAAACAGACAGAAGGCTACAGGAACGTTCATGTCACTGATCTCACTACTTCTTGGAGGAGTGGCCTTGCGCTGTGTGCAATTATGCACCGCTTCAGACCTGACCTCATGTAAGTTATGTGGGTAAAGTTTGCTAATTGTAGGATACGCTAAGTAGTTTATAAAAGTATAGACTAGTGTAAGGCCAACTAAAACAATGCCGGTGGTTTAGAGTCCCCTTTTAACATTTGTTTTTGCAACCGGGTGCATGCCATTGCTGAGTCTGTTTTTTTCCCAGATGTCCTTGGCCCAGCTTTTAAAACTGACAGTATACATTTTCAAAGAGCTGCATGGCTTTTAGCTGTGTGATTCTTGTTGACTTTAGTGGAAATCACATGCCTATTTTTTATTTATTTTTTTAATGTGAGGGTTTATGTCCATGTGTTCCTCGAAGCACATTCTTAGAAAGGAGAGGCAAGTTCAGGGGAATTTTGCAGCTTTAGACTGTTTCTGTATGTGCTCTGTCCAGAGCAATACAACACCCTTTCATATTAGCTGCATTATGAACACCAAAAATCGAGTAACAGATTCCCGAGGTAGTCCTGGCAAATTAACTCCCTCTTCTGTCCTAACCCCCTTCTTCTGACTGTAACCACACCATATCCCACTGGACCTAACTAATTACACAGAAACTGTTAGAGTATGTCTACATGGCAACCAGACATCGGCGGCCACCCCGTACCAGCTGATTTGGGTTTGCGGGGCTCAGACTGCAGGGCTGTTCAATTTCAGCGTAAACTTCCAGGCTCCAGGACTCTGCAAGGTGGCAAGGTCCCAGAGCTCAGGCTGCAACCCAAGCTTGGAAGTCTCCACTGCAATTATACAGCCCCTTAGCCCGAGTCCTGCAAGCCTGAGTCAGCTGGCATGGGCCAGCCGTGGGTGTCTAGTTGTAGTGTAGACATACCCTTAGTGTGTGTCCTCTGCCCCAGCTACTTATTGAGACCTGTGATCTTCCTACATCCAGAGAAGCTGTAATCAGTCTTTAATGGTCATCTCTGTTGAAATCTGTGGTAGGAGTGACTCCAGTGTCCTCTGACTCTCTCTGGCACTGGAGAGTGCACACAGGCATGCTGGGCTACCCAATGCACACAGACTTTTAAATCCACAATGACACTGGCAGAAATTTGAAAAGAAGACCTAACTGGAAACTCCAGAATGGAAAAAAAGGCACATGGACCAAAATAAGAGCTAGTGTAAATGGAAGCATTAATGGTTTCCGACATGGTTAAAGCTGATGGGTGTGCTAAATGCTAATTATTCAGCTAAATAGGAGGTGCAGTTGGGCCCCTTTTACCTTGTGAAACTGGAAATCATAGACGCCACCATGCAAGGTGGGCCACATGGCAAGGCGTAACTCAGGAGAGTAAGAGGGGTTTCCCTGGGATTGACTGAAAACACAACGATCAAGGGATGGGTTGACAAGCTGTGTGGGCATGAGTAAGGGGGAGATTTTTGTCATGGATATTTTTAGTAAGTCATGGACAGATCACAGGCAATGTCCTGTCCCTGACTTTTACTAAAAATATCCCTGACAAAATGGGCAGCTGTGGGGTCCCTCCCTGCTGGCTGGAAGCTACAGGGGGGTGCCTGCGGCGGCTGGGAGCTGTGAAGGGCCCTGCCACCAGCAGCAGCTGAGAACTGCACCGGGGCTGAAGCAGAAAATGTCACGGAGGTCTCTGAAATCAAGGATTCCGTGACCCCTCTGACGTAATCGTAGCCTTAGTCATGGGAGAGGCAGAAAGCGAGAGAATCTGTCATGAATGTAGAGTGAGAAGGAGCACAGATACCTTCTTTTGGGCACAGTACTTGCTGGAAAGGGAAATTCAAATTCCTGAGCAAGAAAACTCCCTGCTGTTTTGTTTCTACTGTGTTTAGGGAAACAGGACTTTGCATGCTTTCTTTGTAACTAAAGAGGATTCCACCTAAGAAATATCCGACTCCAGCATCAATTTCTCCTCCTAAAGGAAACAATCTGGCAATGCCCCAAATACTGGCTAATCTCATTGGCCAGAGGGCATCAATATGAAGCACTAAACACAGTAATGAGATCCAGAACACTGTACAGATTTCTACCATTAGATTTTAAAATTGATGCTTTTGGATTCATAAAAGCAGCTACTGGCCCATGACTGAATTTCAGCCATCCTGGGCATCAGGAAGGGATCACTCTTTTGGGGCGTAGAATTTCACATTTGGCATGAGGTGGAGGAAACGTCTTTGCTAGCAGCTTTATTTTTTTTTTTTTTTTAAATGTCTGCTTGAAACTACTTGGGATTGCAATTTTATTGAGTCCCAGAGAAAATGGATTGGGGGCAGGTAATGCGGTCAAAAGTGTGTGATAAATGTATCACATGACTGTCCAATTTATCGCAAGGACAACAATTTGTGTGCGTGTGTGTGTGCGTGTGTGAGAGAGAGAGATGCTTTTTTATAAGAGAATGTGGTGCTAGTCTGAGCTCACAATTCACTGGTCTATGTGGTCATGAATTTGATTACTTTTCATTCTAAATGAATTGGGATTATTCCAGTGTTTAAAGGCAAAGTGCATCACTTGCAGCGGTTGGAACATGTAGCAGTGCAGCTATATTCTGGAAGGGAAGGATTTTTTGTACTGTTTGTGGTATGCTTACATTTTTCACATAGTAGATCAGGAAATTCTTTCTCTACAACTAGCTCAAATAATAGTTTTGAAAAATTAGGTTCAGTGACGTTTTTGAAATTTAATTTGAAAAGTGAACATCAAACATAGGGAAGTGCTTTGGGTCGTATGCCTTGTCTGTAAATTTGGATACAGTTCACAAATGCAACCCTGTGAAATGTGCAGGCAGTCTTGAATCATGACTTCAGTCATGACATTCCCAAATGAGGCAAATGAGTGCTTTTATTGTTTGTTTGTGAAAATGGCAGAAGGCAGCTCTCCCCCAAACCCACCGAATATTAATCTTTGTTCCTCAGTGACTTTGACTCTTTGAATGAAGAAGATGTTGTTGAAAACAACCAGCTGGTGTTTGACATCGCTGAACGAGAGTTTGGAATTCCTCCAGTCACCACTGGGAAAGAGATGGCGTCTGCTGGAGAGCCTGATAAACTCAGCATGGTCATGTACCTCTCAAAATTCTATGAGCTATTTAGAGGAACCCCTCTGAGAGCAGTTGGTAAGCAAACCATTGTTCTTCATTTTTACCGAAATTGGAAAAATCATTTCACCTAAGCTGCCTAATTACCCCTGATGTTGGGCCAAAGTCCGTTTCTCACAGTATAACCACTCTGGAATGTTTGACTCCTTTTGCTGTCTGTAGTAGTTATCTCATGCTTAAGACGGAAAGGGAAAAAATATTTGATTTGGATCAAGGCTTTCTATTCCTTAATGGTCTCAGAAAGCAGGAGAGCGCTGAGTAACTGCCACTATCATTAAGATAACACTGTCAAACATTATAGTAACTTGCTAAGGATGTTGTTCTTCCCATATTTATTCATATGGGAGTCTCTTCCAATTTTTAGAAAACATATGTAGATTTTATTTATTCATTCATTCGTTCTGCGGGGAGAGTGGGCTCCAACACACTCATATATAAATGCTACTATTAGTAGACTGCAAAAATATTGTTTCTACAGAGAAAATGCTTTGAAAAATGACTTTTTTATGTGAATACAATATCTTAAGAGTGCAATATCTTCATTTTAACAGATGCTGTGGATAAGCAAAATGGAGAAAATAATGACCTTTGCTCAGCAAAATCATCAAACTTCATCTTTAATAACTACATCAATTTAACGTTACCAAGGAAGCGAGTACCAAAAGTAAGGTTCTTTGCCCTCTACTACTTCACCTCATATTAGTAGGTTAAAGATATACTATCATACTTCTACATAATGTAAACCAGTAGAATATATACATGATTATATGAAAATAATTCCAATGCAGACAAGGATGTGTTGTCTTATTAAACAAAAATATTTGTTATGATGTTTGTAACTCTAACCATTGCAGCATTATGCTAGTCATCAATTAAATTATCTAGAAACTAACTAGTTCTTATAATGCAGTCTTTGCAAATCCAAAATTCCTGTTAATGTTCAAAGGGAGTTTTGAGTGTGCAAACAATGAAAGAGTAGAAAGCAAAAACTTATCTAACTAGTTTACTTTAACTGTCCAGACTACTGTGGTATTATTTGACATAGGTAAATAAATATCTTTTTTTAAAAGATATATAAGATTTTTCAACTTGCCAGTGTCCTTTCTTAAAACATTTTCTACTTTAGCTTTATTCAATTCCAGATTGTTCATTTGTGAGCAACATAAAAAGCCTGTTTTTGCAAATCATTTTAAAAACTTTTTGATTTTTTGGCCAGTGTTTCCACTATTAATATATAATGAAAAATATTTTATAAAGTTTTATAGACTTGCAAAAAGACTGGAGAAAATCTTTTATTTTTCCCTGCATCAGTTAATCACGCCTTTATCAAAGGTGTACTGTAGTCTTACAGTACTTCATATAAAAGAGTGAAATCTATATTACCATACCACATGTACACTCAAATAATAGTTGTGATTCTGGGAGAATTTTTCAATTTATTAAATATCTTTTATTTATAGCAATGAAATTAATGACCTGAAAAAGCCATAGTTGAGGTTAATAGTACTGATACCACATTTTCAGGTTCCATTCTCCAAAACATTTTAGGGGCCAATCCTCCAAACTTACTGAAGTATAATGCATATAACCTTGAAATCAATGGGAAAGTTCACTACCAAGAGTAACATTTACTGTTGTAAGTGTTTGGAGGATCTGGCCCCTAGGCAATAATCCATTCACATGTGTCCCCTTATTTTTTCTCTCTCCTACTTTATCATAAGTCCCGCTGAGTAATGGAGAATTGCTGTTAAGTACGCAATTCCCTGTGCTTCATAAAGCACCCCGTGCCTGTCGAAGTCAGTGAAACCATGCAGAGCACTGGGATCTGTGCTAGCAGAGCCTGATGCAGGATTGGGGCTGGTGAGAGTGGTTTTTATTTTTCCTTAAGTGAATAGACGCTCTTCCAAGACAATGACTTTGGAGACAGATTCAGTTACATATTTTCCTGTTAAATAACTTTGCTATCCTACATATTTACCCTTCTCCCCACCCCAAATGCAATCCTATCACTAAGTTAACAGGAACTTGGAGAGGCTGTTTCTTTCACCCCCAATCCCACCCTCATTTTCCCTTTTTAAAACTGAGCCTGCACAGTCTGGCTCAAAGTCAAAAATGTCCCTCTGTGATTGTTCAGATCTAATTGCTATGAAGTGCTAGCCAACCCACACCAGAACGTGGCTGCTGCTCTGTAAAGTTGTGATAACAGCATAGTTCGTTAACCTCCGTGGATGTTTCCTGAAAATACAATCTAATGCAAACTTGTGTGAGGTTGTGTTTCCTGCACCATTCTGTAACCTTATTTTCTTCAATAATTCCAGCTGTTGCAAAGAACCCATGTTTGTAACAGACCTAACTTGCTACTCTATTGTAACTGTAGTTTGTTGCATAGTAAAAGATAAAATATCTGCCAATACAAGCACTTCAGATTTTTTTACTTTTAGTTTTTCATTGCCTCACATGTTAACTTGCAAAACTAACAGAAGGCAGCTCTCCCACTCCTTCATTCCTAGTCCAAAGATCTTAACAGGACTGTGTGTGTGTGTGTGTGTGTGTGTGTGTGTATGTATATATGTATATATATATATAATGTTCATAGTTTTCCTTATTGGTTATAAATCTGCTTCCACCTTGTCTTTTCAATTCTGGTGTAAACCAGCTACCTAAACAAGATTTTCCTAACCCAGAAAGTGCTTCAGAGCCTACAGATATTTCCTAGGTTTACTTGAGTCTTACATGTTGCTAATTCCATAAACACATTTTTAAAGCATGTGACCAGTCAACCACTCACTAGTTATCTCATATAACCTTATTAGGTAACAACTTTTACCCATCAAACACCCACAAAAAAAACCAGAGTGACACACTTACCAACCAGCCAAACTAGAGGCAAGCCAAATAGGCAAAATAAACATTGTGCTTGATTAAAACAGATGATTTCCTTTGGAGAGGAGCTCCTCTTATTGCCATGTTGTTTTTTCCTTAGTTACTCCAAAAAGTAAACAGACTTTCAGTAGTGGAAATCTTTCCCCACTACTAAGGTGTTTAATCCTCTCTCATTAACTGGTAGACAAAAGTGATACCGGTACTTCTTGACCTCTGCGAGCAGCAGAAGTAGGAATTAATACAATAGTTCAGCACTTTGCATTGTCCAGTGAGAGCAGCAGCTTTTGGGAGTTCTTGGAGTACAGCTGCACATGTACACAGCATTTGATAAAACAATAACTGCTTCCCTTCCCCTAAAAAGTTTACAGATGAGATAAACGACGAGAGGGAATTTGCTTTGTGGCCTCCTGTTGGCACCACCATCACAATGCTCCGTGGAAAAGAGAAATAATGCTTTCCCTTCAGACACCTTTCATCTCCAACCCCAGATCCAATATAGTGTTTGCAATGTTGTCCATCTAGAAATGGCTCAGGGAGCAAGCATGTCGAGGTCACTTCTTTTGCAGGAAGCGCCACAGACCTTCACAGCTTCCTCTGTGATGTGTAGCTTCTGTGTTCCAAAAATGTTACCTTGTAGTGTGCATTTACACAGCAGCTGGAAGGTGAATCCCCAGCTGGGGTAGATCTACATGTGCTAGTTGTCCTCAATAGCACCTAAAAATAGCATTGTAGCCATGGTGGCACAAGCGGCATCTTGGGCTAGCCACCGGAGTATGTACCAGAGTAGCTGTAGCTATGCTGCTAATTTTAGCGCACTAGCTCCAGCAGAGCTAGCATGTTTTCATCTACCAGAGCTGGGAATGACCCCTCCCAACTCCTGCATGGGCACAGTTTGAGACAGGAAGTTACGCAAACTATAGCTATCTGAAGAGGCGGTGGAAATGTAGCGAGGCAGAAAGTAGCTTCCCAAGTTAGAATTTGGCCATAACCTTAGCTCTAAGTCTGTTCTTCTGCAAAAATTGATATAGGACCTATTAACAAGTACAAATAGTCAGGTGCTTAGTGTTGTCTTCTTGGAGAGATGGCACTTCCAACACAATGGTATGCCCTTACAACGTTATGTGGCTTTAATTCAGCACTGACCACAAGGGGAGAATGCCACCAACTGAATTGCCAGCACTGCTTCCTGCACTGTCTGGCTTTTCCTTAGAGCTGGTCATTAGTTGGATGGGAGACCTCTAACCCTGCCTAGTGTGTGAGAGATTAGGAAATTGCAGGCTGAGGGTAATGTGGCTGCAGTTTGTTTGCCAGTATGTACTGGGCTAGATAATGTTTTTCATTTTCCTATTAGTGTCTGCAGTGCTCCAGAGGAACTGGGGTTTCCTGCACTTCTCCAGACTATAGAATGAGTTTTAGGTGTTTACATGATAATGAGCACAGTCTGCAGGCGTGGAGTCACTGCGCAATTAATTGCTTAGTAGTCTAGGTCTTTAACTTTCAAAATTTTATACAATGGGCTGTGATTAAATTTTTTTAATGTGCTGTTGTGCCCTTCATTCTCTTATGTGGTCTCCGCTTTTATGTACAAACTATTCTGCAGAACACATTGTGCTATTGCACTGTTCAATCTTGCTGGGCAGACTGATGCTTACGTAGGACGGGAAACTAGATTACTGAGAGCCAATGCTTGAAAGACACAGTATTCAAAATATCGTCATCTATTTCTTTTGGAATTTGACCAGAAGTTAAGATTGAGATAACTTCAATTAACTCTAGAATGATTTATTATAAGCTGTGGAAAATATTAAAAGGAAGTTTGTATTCATTGTCCCTCCCCCCACCGTCCTGTTCTTTTTATTACTGGCATGGAAGGTTGCTCATCTGCAGCTCATAGAAATACAAATGACTGAACTGTGTTTTTTATTGACTATTATACAGAAACAACATAGGCTGACATGTTTACCAGGCAGAAAAATTGTCCATGTTATAATTACTTTTTCCTACAATTTACCTGTTTGTGGAAGTTGAACCAGAGTTCCAGGACTGAATTTTACTGAGAGCTGATGTAAATTTTAAATCACTAAGTCATTTGACAGGGTAATATCACTTGTCTGTATATTCAAGTAGGCTCTGATTCAGTAAATTTCTTAAACACATGCATAACTTTAAGCGTGAGAGTAGCCCAGTTGAAATCAATTGGGACTTCTCACATGCTTAAAGTTATGCATGTGCTTAAATACCTTACTGAATCAAGACCATAATCAGTTTGATAGAACTTGTGAATAAAGCAGACAGTTTTTCTGAAGGGGAGGAAAGCTGTTTGTGCTTGAGAATCTACCTGATGGGGTGCGTGGTGAGAGGTGGGAGGGGAGGGGGATGTGCCTGTGTATATTTGTTTTTCTAACTTTACCTGAAATCCATTACAGTTTAATTATAATATAATTTGTATTTAATACCTTTCATTCAAGAATGTCAAAGTGCTTTATGAGCACTAAATACCTTTAAAAATTGTCCCCTAAGTCATTAATTCCTGAAGCACTCCTTTGAGATTTCATACAAGGGAAACTGAGACCAGGAGATTAAGGCCCCAAGAATTCAATCATATCCATTAGTCCCATTGAAGTTCAGTAATAAGTCTCAGTTCAGCAAGGTACTTATGCACATACCTAGCTTTAAGCATGTCAGTATTCCCACTGAAGTCAATGAGACTATTTGTGTGCTTAGTTAGGCATGTGCTTAAGTCCTTTGCTGAATCAGGGCTGTAATCAGTGTTAGGGGTGGGATAAGTACCCAAAAGTCCTGAAACTCCTGAGCCCAGTCCCACTCTGCAAACTACCCGTGGGCCCCACTTCCATGTTTGCTAAGTTTTTAATATTTTTAACATATTGATTAATAAATTCTGCGTAAATATAGTTGTGCTCAACATACCTTGTTTGGCTTTATTGTTGCAGGTTGAAAGGAGAGAAGAAAATGATATGAACAAAAGGCGTCGAAAGGGCCTCGGTGGCTTTGAAGAGGTGGGTGTTAAGTCTTGTTGCTATGTTAACCCCATCTTCTGCATGAAGAGAGTTAATGAAGTAACAGGAAGCAGATTCAACAGAAGCCCAAAAGCTGAACTTTTGTGTTCTGTGCTGATTAAGACATACCCCCTCTCCCTTTCCTCCCTCCCCCCCCCCCCGCCCCGAGGAGCTTGCAGTCTTTAATTTATCTTGTACACAGTAGTGAAGCTAAATTTATTTTTTTCAAGTTATTTATAAAGGAAAAGTGAGAGATCTTCATTTTTTAAAGTCCTATTCTGGTTTAGGAAATACATATATATAGTTACTTTTCTTGTCCCAGCTCAGTTATTTAACTTTTGTTTTATAACTTCCTAACAGCATTTCCTTCCGGCAAGAGTCCCATTCCCTTCCTGATTTTGTTTTTTATGGCTTCTTGCTCTATGTTCAGCAGTGTCAGTTCAGTCTCTGTAAATCCTGTTCTCTTTCTCTCACTTGAGGGTTGGGTCACCAAGGAGAATAATCTATTAGTTTATATAAGTGATTTTTTTTTTTTTTTTTACTGTCCCATAAAAGTGAGTTCCTTTTTGAAATAAGCAGATGTCACAAAATGACATCATTCTTCTCAGGCTGTGAGTGTCTGGTGTAATATCACTGAAGTCTCAATTTCAGACTTGAAGAAAAATTCTCCGTTTTTTTTTACAGGCTTCACGTTTTTCTAGTCGGGGTACGAATTCTGGTAAAGATCAGGGCGACAGAGAAGGAATGAATCAAAATAAAGTAAAGTCAATGGCAACGCAGCTGTTGGCAAAGTTTGAAGAAAATGCCCCAAACACATCTCTCCGGAGACAGGTGAGTGACGAATGTAAAATTCACCTTTGAAATTCAAGTAATCTCTCCTCATGAACAAAACAGTAGTTCTCAGATAAAAATTGCATCTGTAGTGAGTTTGAAGAAGCTTTTTTTAAGAATTTGTCATCTAAAATTTGTATAGAAAATATCCTTTTCATTGCATTTAGGGAGAAACTAATTGGTGACTATGTAGGTGCCCATTGCATAGTAATACATAGTGCAATTGTGTTGGTTTGAAACGTACTGCGAAATTGTCTCTGAAACTATGGCTTTATAGTGGAGCTTTGTAACAATAAGTTGTCATAGGTCTGCTGGCTAAGGTTTTGTAAAAGCTCTTCAGTTTTCATGTTTTGTGGATGTTAGTAAAGGATACAGAGTCACTTTCAAGACAAAAAGATCCAGTGGAATGTTTTCTTTTCACTGTAATTCTTGTCTAGGAAGGAAAATGTAGAAAATACAAGACAGTGCGTCTAATCTTTTGATGCATGCATTGTCATTAAATGAACAGAATATACTGTGCATGTTTTGCAGTTGATCACGAGTGACTTCAGCAGGACTGCTCATGTTTAAAGTTAACCATAGTCTCTGTTTAAAATATTTAGTATTCCACATGCGCACTTCCAAGTACAGTTGTAATGGGAGAGCAGACCATTAATTTGGGTAGACTCCAAAAGGGCTGTGTAGAACATCTGGATAAAGCCCTTTTAGGGATCCCTTTAAGCAGTTTTTCTTTCTTTTTCTGTCTGTCTCGAAATATCTTGTTCTATTTACCTTTTCCTAAGATTTTCCAATCTTATGTTTTGTTTTGACTCAAAATTGTATACAAGGAGCTAGTAGATAAACCAGCCCTGCTCTCTTCCTCTGATCCTCCTGCTAATCCTCGCTTTACTAAGCCTAAGGAGCCAAGTCCTTCACCTCCACCAAAGAGTCAGGTAGGAATTCATAAGGAGAAAATCTTTCTATAAATAATTAACGTACTATTTTCATTTAGTACGGCAGGATTCAGTGTCTTCAAATGACTCCAGAACACTCAAATTCAGACATTAATTTGATCACATAAGTGACAGGTGTGTTTAGCTGTTGCATGCCAGGACATCTTAAAGCAAGATTCTTGAATTTAGTGTGGTAGTACCCAAAATAATACAGAATAATAGGTGAATGATAAGAGACACCCCCCTACCCCCAATGTTAAAGTTACATTACACTCTTCAGACAACATCAGAAAGCTGACTGAAGAATAAGTGCATGCACGCAAAGCACTCTAAATGTGTATGGGTCAAGTTCTATGTGCTTAAATCAAGCAAACTCCCATTGACATCAGTGGAGAAGTTGTGTATATATGTTGTAGTGTGTATATATAAATTTTGTATGCTAGAAAAATACTGCAATACATTCAATGTGTTGATATATGCATGTACAATAATCTGTGTAGTTTGATAGAATGCTAAAACAAAGGGAGTTTTGCTGAGTTTGACCCTATGAAACAATTCAGAATGACCAATGACTCAGCGCTCAACAAAGGGTTGGGATTCGGTTTAGAATCATAGAATCATAGAATATCAGGGTTGGAAGGGACCTCAGGAGGTCATCTAGTCCAACCCCCTGCTCAAAGCACGACCAATCCCCAACTAAATCATCCCAGCCAGGGCTTTGTCAAGCCTGACCTTAAAAACCTCTAAGGAAGGAGATTCCACCACTTCCCTAGGTAACCCATTCCAGTGCTTCACCACCCTCCTAGTGAAAAAGTTTTTCCTAATATCCAACCTAAACTTCCCCACTGCAACTTGAGACCAGTACTCCTTGTTCTGTCATCAGGTACCACTGAGAACAGTCTAGATCCATCCTCTTTGGAACCCCCTTTCAGGTAGTTGAAAGCAGCTATCAAATCCCCCCTCATTCTTCTCTTCTGCAGACTAAATAATCCCAGTGCCCTCAGCCTCTCCTCATAAGTCATGTGCTCCAGCCCCCTAATCATTTTTGTTGCCCTCCGCTGGACTTTCCAATTTTTCCACATCCTTCTTGTAGTGTGGGGCCCAAAACTGGACACAGTACTCCAGATGAGGCTTCACCAATGTCGAATAGAGGGGAACGATCACGTCCCTCGATCTGCTGGCAATGCCCCTACTTATACAGCCCAGAATGCCGTTAGCCTTCTTGGCAACAAGGGCACACTGTTGACACATATCCAGCTTCTCGTCCACTGTAACCCTTAGGTCCTTTTCTGCAGAACTGCTTCCTAGCCATTCGGTCCCTAGTCTGTAACAGTGCATGGGATTCTTCCGTCCTAAGTGCAGGACTCTGCACTTGTCCTTGTTGAACCTCATCAGGTTTCTTTCGGCCCAATCCTCTAATTTGTCTAGGTCCCTCTGTATCCTGTCCCTACCCTCTAGCGTATCTACCACTCCTCCCAGTTTAGTGTCATCTGCAAACTTGCTGAGAGTGCAGTCCACGCCATCCTCCAGATCATTAATGAAGATATTGAACAAAACCGGCCCCAGGACTGACCCCTGGGGCACTCCACTTGAAACCGGCTGCCAACTAGACATGGAGCCGTTGATCACTACCCGTTGAGCCCGACGATCTAGCCAGCTTTCTATTCACCTTATAGTCCATTCATCCAGCCCATACTTCTCTTGCTGGCAAGAATACTGTGGGAGACTGTATCAAAAGCTTTGCTAAAGTCCAGGAATAACACATCCACTGCTTTCCCCTCATCCACAGACCCAGTTATCTCCTCATAGAAGACAATTAGGTTAGTCAGGCACGACTTGCCCTTAGATAAGCATCTAAGAGCTAAACAGTTATCCAACTTTCCAGTCCTTTTGAGTGGAGCCCCAGATATTTTGTGGTAAGGATCTATGCTAGGAACCTCATTGTAGCCCAGAATGAAACACTGAATAAATTTGGCTTTTTTTTTTTTTTTTTTTTTTAAAGAAGTTTCATATCAAACAGTGCTGATACTTAATTTTAAAAAGGCTGAATATTTTCTTATGCAGTTCAGGTTGCTGTCTTGTTTCCATTTTGCGGAAGACCATTCTTGGCATGCCAGAAAAATCAGAGTAGCCTGCTGTAGAATGTGAGCTCCTTGTTCCATACACCCATCAGACAGAGGGAAGGAGTAAGGGTAGATCAGCCGATAATTCAGACAATGAACATGATTTGGTTTGCATGAATGGGATGAGAATCGTTGTTTAAAGAAAGATATCCTTGTGTATGGTGTACCATTATTAACAATTTATAGGCTGACGTGTTTGTGTTTTTGAGAAAAGATTATTTTTTGTGTGTGCTAATTTCATGTAATTGGTCAACCATTATAAAATAGAAGGCCTGATTTCATGAAAATACCAACGGGAGGATCATTTTTAATTACAATATGATACCACAGTTATGGTTCAAAGACCATTTCTATTTGTAGTCTGATTTTTAGAGCCACCTCTTACTTTATCAAAACCCCCAAACCTTTGGACCTGAAATGTATTCTGCTTAGGCTCAGAATAGAGTAGATCTCGAATTATGCGAAGTAAGTTGTGTTCCTCAGAGGTATTTTTACACTTCAATAGTTCAGTTTCATGCATGTTTTCTGTCGCAATAATGCACAACACTGCAGGACATCACAGGAGAATGTGTTGAATTCCCCCTCTAGTCCAGTGGTTCTCAGACTTATGTACTGGTGACCCCTTTCACACAGTAAGCTTCTGAGTGTGGCCCCCTTTATAAATTAAAAACACTTTTTAATATATTTTACACCATTATAAATGCTGGAGGCAAAGTGGGGCTTGGGGTGAAGGCTGACAGCTCGCGACCCCCATGTAATAACCTCGCGACCCCCTGAGGGGTCCCGACCCCCAGTTTGAGAACGCTTGTCTAGTCACGCTATTTAGAGTTCACATAGAGACTGTAAAAAGCGACAAAGAGTCCTGTGGCACCTTATAGACTAACATAGAGACTGAGAGATAGCTAGACTACAGGATGTGAAGACCTGCATGTGTTGTATAGTCCAAATATACTCCAGCGCATGGAAATATGCATGAGTTTTATAGTAATGCAGTGTTTTAAAACATGGAAGAATACTACATTATATGAAATGCTTAGACGTGCCTGGCTATGATCCACTGTTGTGTATGCTGTCTTAGAACATGTGTGAGTTGCATGATAGTCTAAGAACAACTTTTTTCATTTGAAGTGTTTCCCAGTTTCAGGCAGTAGCTAGGACTGAACATGTGGTCAGAGAGCCAAAGCAATCTTTGCATGGTTCTGATCGTGTGGCCAGGGGATCAAGAATTGTAGAAAAAACAGACATACAGTCCAGGCTTTCAGAAACTCTTGCATCTACCTGTCCTGCTGCATTTGTGATTTCTGGAGTGCTTAAACGCCTTCAGCACGTGGAGGAAAAAATTAATCAGGTGACAAGCTATTTCATTTTTAACTTCTCTCTCTCTCTCTCTCTCTCTCTTAACTGTGTTTATTCTGGTTAATTCTTCTATGCACACTATATATTCTGTACTTTACATACTTCTGTTACATAGTTAAGACGTAAATTGCCTTTCCCTGTACATACTGAACTTCTGCCTTTTCTTGTATGACTGCTATCTAAAATCTGTCTCTCTGTTCTGTTTCCCTTCCTTGGCTTTTATTACAGAAGAAAGCTCAGTCCGTAGCAAATAGGGAATTTCATAAAAAGAACATTAAAGAGAAAGCAGCTCATCTTGCCTCAATGTTTGGATACGTGGACTTACCAAAGGTGAATATTTAGGTTTTGCAGCTGCAAAAACAATAGTCTAGAAGAGACCAGATGTAAGTTAGACGTTTGCAGCAACTTTGTATTTTCATTTCTTCTTTTCATCTTGGGTGAAGCTAAAACAGTCAGGAGTTCAGATTCCAGTACATCATGCAGAATGACTTGTGTTATTAAAATATATAACATAATTACCCTCTTTCTAGTGAAAACATGGAATAACCAGATATTTAAAGTGTGAGACTATTTAAGCATACCTGAAACATACTCGAAACAGCTCATTATCAAGGTGGCTTGAGAATTCAAATGCTGGTAGCTTTAGAAATAGAAATGACTTGACAAGGTGAATATTCAATCAGCTGATCAATGTGTTCACTGTATAGGTTTGTTTTATCTTAAAAACTATTCCACTTCTTCTGTTGCTACTCATGGGTGTGGTTTCTGATTGAATGGCCAGGTGCAGTCAGGATATTGGTTGAAGTGGAGGTTTTGCGGTGACGATTTCCGTGACTCCTCACTGTCAGATGTACAGATAGGCCTGGGGTATGTTATCCTGTTGCAGATCAGTATCCCAGATTCTGCTGAATCTCTTACCCTCTCTCTGCACCACTGCAGTGAATGAATTTTATTTGGAAACTACTAATGACCCTTCACTGCGCTGAACAGAAAAGGAGCTGACTTAATGGCGACTAGGGAATTGGGAGAGGGAGAAATTCTTGTTAAGGCTTTTGTTGACTGATACGAAACAGAGATCAATATTTTCTCTTGAGGGGCAACGAAGATATTCTCCAAAGTAAGAAGTCAGTATATGTGTAATTCCATAAATCTCTATCAGAAATATTGGAAACTTTCTCCAATATGTTCATGAATTCCAATGTAACACTTTTTCCTTTAAAATTAAGTGGTACAGAGGAGATGGAAGTTAGTGATTCAGAAAAAATTGACTGCACTTCTAATCCACCAGGAAGCAGAAAGATGCTATCTAATTGGCTCAGGTTTCAGAGTGGTAGCCGTGTTAGTCTGTATCAGCAAAAAGAACGAGGAGTACTTGTGGCACCTTAGAGACTAACAAATTTATTTGGGCAAAACCTTTCGTGGGCTAAAACCCACTTCATCGGATGCATGCAGTGGAAAATACAGTAGGAAGATACATATACACAGAGAACATGGGAAAAATGGGTGTTGCCATACCAGCTCTAACGAGACTAATCAATTAAGGTAGGCTATTATCAGCAGGAGAAAAAAAACTTTTGTAGTGATAATCAGGATAGCCCATTTCAAACAGTTGACAAGAAGGTGTGAGTAACAGTAGGGGAAAAATTAGCATGGGGAAATAGTTTTTACTTTGTGTAATGACCCATCCACTCCCAGTCTTTATTCAAGCCTAATTTAATGGTGTCCAGTTTGCAAATTAATTCCAGTTCTGCAGTTTCTCTTTGGAGTCTGTTTTTGAAGTTTTGTTGTTGAAGAATTGCGACTTTTAGGTTTGTAACTGAGTGACCAGGGAGGTTAAAGTGTTCTCCGACTGGTTTTTGAATGTTCTAATTCTTGATTTGTGTCCATTTATTCTTTTGCGTAGAGACTGTCCGGTTTGGCCAATGTACATGGCAGAGGGGCATTGCTGGCACATCGTGGCATATATCACATTGGTAGATGTGCAGGTGAACGAGCCTCTGATGGTGTGGCTGATGTGATTAGGTCCTATGATGGTGTCCCTTGAATAGATATGTGGACAGATTTGGCAACGGGCTTTGTTGCAAGGATAGGTTCCTGGATTAGTGTTTTTGTTGTGTGGTGTGTGGTTGCTTGTGAGTATTTGCTTCAGGTTGGGGGGCTGTCTGTAGGCGAGGACTGGCCTGTCTCCCAAGATCTGTGAGAGTGAGGGATCCTCCTTCAGGATAGTATCAAAGGAGTAGCCGTGTTAGTCTGGATCTACAAAAGCAGCAAAGAGTCCTGTGGCACCTTATAGACTAACAGACGTATTGGAGCATGAGCATCCGAAGAAGTGGGTATTCACCCACGAACGCTCATGCTCCAATACGTCTGTTAGTCTATAAGGTGCCACAGGACTCTTTACAACCTATCCTGAAGGAGCAGCAGATTCTTGATGATGCGCTGGAGAGGTTTTAGTTGGGGGCTGAAGGTGACGGCTAGTGGCATTCTATTACTTTCTTTGTTGGGCCTGTCCTGGAGTAGGTGACTTCTGGGTATTCTTCTGGCTCTGTCAATCTGTTTCTTCACTTCACCAGGTGGGTATTTGTAGTTTTAAGAACGCTTGATAGAGATCGTGTAGGTGTTTGTGTCTGTCTGAGGGATTGGAGCAAATGCGGTTGTATCTTACAGCTTGGCTGTAGACAATGGATCGTGTGATGTGATCTGGATGAAAGCTGGAGGCATGTAGGTAAGTATAGCGGTCAGTAAGCTTCCGGTATAGGGTGGTGTTTGTGACCATCGCTTATTAGCACTGTAGTGTCCAGGATGTGGATCTCTTGTGTTGACCGGTCCAGGCTGAGGTTGATGGTGGGATGGAAATTGTTGAAATCATGGTGGAATTCCTCAAGGGCTTCTTTTCCATGGGTCCAGATGATGAAGATGTCATCAATGTAGCGCAAGTAGAGTAGGAGCATTAGGGGACGAGAGCTGAGGAAGCGTTGTTCTAAGTCAGCCATAAAAATGTTGGCATACTGTGGGGCCATGTGGGTACCCATAGCAGTGCCGCTGACTTGAAGGTATACGTTGTCCCCAAATGTGAAATAGTTGTGGGTGAGGACAAAGTCACAAAGTTCAGCCACCAGGTTTGCCGTGACATTATCGGGGATACTGTTCCTGATGGCTTGTAGTCCATCTTTGTGTGGAATATTGGTGTAGAGGGCTTCTACATCCATAGTGGCCAGGATGGTGTTTTCTGGAAGATCACCAATGGATTGTAGTTTCCTCAGAAAGTCAGTGGTGTCTCGAAGATCGCTAGGAGTGCTGGTAGCATAGGGCCTAAGGAGAGAGTCTACATGGCCAGACAATCCTGCTGTCAGGGTGCCAATGCCTGAGATGATGGGGCGTCCAGGATTTCCAGGTTTATGGATCTTGGGTAGCAGACAGAATACCCCTGGTTGGGGCTCTAGGGGTGTGTCTATGTAGATTTGTTCCTGTGCTTTTTCAGGGAGTTTCTTGAGCAGATGGTGTAGTTTCTTTTGGTAACCCTCAGTGGGATCAGAGAGTGTTAACGCCACATTCTACAGGCCATTACACTCTGATCCCATTTTTTTTTTCATGTTCTCTCTCTCTCTCTCTCTGTGTGTGTGTGTGTGTGTGTGTGTGTGTGTGTGTGTGTGTGTGTGTGTGTGTGTGTGTGTATATATATGTATATGTATGTGTGTATATATATATGTATATGTGTGTGTATATATATATATATATATATATATATATATATATCTGTATATCTATATCTTCCTACTGTATTTTCCACTGCATGCATCCAATGAAGTGGGTTTTAGCCCACAAAAGCTTATGCCCAAATAAATTTGTTAGTCTCTAAGGTGCCACAAGTACTCCTCGTTCTTTTTGCTAATTGGCTCTGCAGATTTCACTTAACTGTAGCAAGTTGGAATGCACTTATTTGAGGATAAATTCTGTTTGGCTAATGTTGTACCGAACTTTTGCATTTACCTCTGAGGTCAAATTTACTACCTCATCTTGTGACTTTTCAGCCAATTGTGACCCAATAGAAAAATAATTTCTATTTATTCAATAGTTGTTGAATTACTTTCAAATTTTAACCAATCACTTGTACTAACTTCAGTTGTTCAGCACTTGTAGATACCAGATCATAATTAAATGTTATTAAATTCATATGGTGAAAATTGATGATGATCTCATTATCCCATCCATTCATATTGTCCACTTAAATATATTTTCAGTGTGGCACACACCAAATTGAGTGCAGATTCCATTAATCATAATAATAGGCCTTATTGCTTATGTGTTAAGTGAAAATGTGCACTACGAAGTTTTGTACATGCACAAGATCATACACCTATTGTCTGAAATGACACTATTTCCTAATATATTAAAATAATGGACTGAATTCTGTAAAACACTCCATAGTAATGAGAAACCTAAGTAATTTCAAAACACACTCTGAAGAGGTTAATCTACTAGACTGGTGCATTCCCTTGTAAGAGTTGCAGCAGATATTGTTCTCTGGAGGCTGCTTATTGTTGTGTTCTGTTACTCTTCACTGTACTTTTTAATAATGTGTATCTTAACAAAGAACCAAGTCATGTTTATTTGACCAGAGTAGCAGAGTTTCAGTTTTGAAGTAACTGTACTGTTACTACCTTCCTAACCTTTTCTTGTGCATGGTTGTGCAATTCCGTCAACTTAACATTTGTTAATGTGACTATCCTCTCTGATAATGTTTCCTCTATTTCTGCTCTGTACAGAATAAACTACCTATTAAAGGCCTATCCTATTATCAGCCCCCAACTCCCTCTTGCCTTCCAGCTCATGATTCAGCTGCTACTTCATCTTCATCATCTATTCACTCAGCTTCCCCTGCTGTTCAATCTAGCAAGGTATTCTATTAACAGATTTTCATGTAAAATCCATTCTTGCTCTAAAAACTGCAGAAGAATTGGCTCAGATTGAAGGTCTTGGCTTTGCATGGAAAATCTGTGCGTACTATGTTTCACATTGGACGCAGAGGTTTAAACCGCTCACTTTGTTTTGTTTACTTCTGCATGTTTGTAAAAGTAAAATGTCATAACAAAAAGTAATTCAGATTAAAAGCTAAGAAGTAGATCATACATTTTTGAGAATTTTAATCTTAGCAGTAGCTAATTTTAAATTGTTTTTGTTTCCTTTTAATAATACTGCAAACTCTCTTTTGAGAATTAAATGCTTGAGCATGCGTTTCCTCTATAAAAGAAGCTTTGATACATAGGAAATAGGCATAAAGTGACTGAAGACAATTCAATAAATTAGAATCCATCAAATATAGAGTTCCCATTAATGATAAAGTAACAAAAGCTTTGATCTGGATAAGCTTAAAAAGGTTCAGCTTCCTTCTCCCCTACATGCAGAAACTATTTTAATTGGGGTATTTTCAGCCATCTCCTTTGTAGGCCAGATCTTTGGGAAGGACCTACATGTCCTTTCTTTCCTCCAGTGGTTATGGCAACAGCAGCACAGGTTGTCTTTCAAGCCTCAGAACAAGTAAGCATATTGAACAGGTTTGGAGTAAGAATAAGTGGGGAAACCATAAAGTTCCTAGAAATGTTAAAGAGCAGCTGTGGCGTCTGGAACACTGAGGCGTCTGGAACCAGTAGGTTCTACCACCACGTTTAAGAAGCGGGAGTTAGGGAAGGGTTGTTTATCAAAACCTAAAATGGTTTGCCATGTGTTTTGGAGGATGAGAGATCTGCTCAAACCTTTCAACCCATCCTTCCTCAACTTAAGTCTCTCTGCTCACTATGAAAACAATCATTCTTTTAAAAAAACACCCATGTCATAAATTACTCATGAGCATGGTCAAAATCCAGCCCAGATAACTAATGGCTGAATGTAAAGATATTCAGGAGTATAAATTAGTTGTTTCAGTCAAATTCCTGGTGGATTTATACCCATCTTACGGTTGACACTGGTTAGAACAGGGGTCAGCAACCTTTCAGAAGTGGTGTGCCGACTCTTCATTTATTCACTCTAATTTAAGGTTTTGCGTGCCAGTAATACATTTTAACGTTTTTAGAAGGTCTCTTTCTATAAGTCTATAATACAGAACTAAACTATTGTTGTATGTAAAGTAAATAAGGTTTTTAAAATGTTTAAGAAGCTTCATTTAAAATTAAATTAAAATGCAGAGTCCCCCGGACCGGTGGCCAGGATCCGGGCAGTGTGAGTGCCACTGAAAATCAGCTCATGTGCCGCCTTCGGCACACGTGCCATAGGTTGCCTACCCCTGGGTTAGAACTTTGACTTGCAACCTCGGCAGAATGGGCAATGACTGAAAGGTCTGACCTGTGCTTGCAACCCTGGAGGCTGGTACTTCAGATCAGAGGCCAGGTGCTTAAACTTTCATGATTTTGGTGGTTGTGGGTTTTGGGGTTTGTTGTTGTTGTTGGTTCTCTGTTAAACACCTCCCATGAGCAGTTGTTTTAATTAAAGGTACTGTAACTGCTATTTTAATTTTAAAATAAATATTTTGGTGAATTTAGCATTGTATTGAAAGAGAGTGGCTATAGCTTAAAGTTGTTGGCTCCTTAAATGGATTTTGTTATGTGATTTTCAGCATTACTGTAGGTTAGAATGTACTAACCTAATATAATGGTGGAACAAAAATAATCCATGCTCAAAATATCTTTTCTGTTACCTGCACAAAACCTAGTGACTTTTTGTTAGAGCTTAGTAAATATTTGACATACTATTGAGGACTAGAAAGATCAAATTCAATATGTAAGCAAGTGTTTACACATTCTGCTGCTCAGGTGCTCCATTCCATAGAAACATGCAGGAGCTAATAGGGACCAGCTTTGGGGTGGGGGGGCAACCACTTCCCCTTCCCCCAGCAGCCTTTAGGTATATGTGTGGTGCCTTTCACTCAAGGCTGGAAAGCGAGCCTGCCCCACACACTCACCTGGCGGTAACCGTTCCTGTCTTGTGGGGCTGGGTCCGGCTTCCTGTTCTGGGTGCTGTGAGATGGTGCATGGGGTCGCATGTGACCCTGTGCGACATGTCGTTGTTATGCCATTCACTCAAATTTGGCCTGGCCCTGCCCCCCTCATGACAGAGGGAAGATCAGGTGAAACCTGAATGGGACTATGACCCCGGGCGCCAGTTTGCAATGCCTGGAGTGTGGAGCTGGGCCCAGCCCTGCAGACAGGAGCTGAGCTACAGCATGAGTGTGGAGCAGTCTCGTTCTCCATCCCACCACCAATGACTCATCATGCCCCTCCGCCCCCAGTTACAAATCCTTGCCCTGCCACTGGCAGTTTGCAGGCTTGGTTAATGAAACAGTAGCACATGTGGAGAAATGTCACATGTTGACAATGGTGTATTGGGGATTTTTGGCATATGGTTCATAATTAAAAAAAAAAAAAAACACACACACACACACACACACTTAGAGCTTGTCAAATGTTTTGACCTCCTTCCTTGATTAGGGCCACCATGCTCACTTCTAAGGTAGATGCATTCATAAGGAAGCAGTTACGACTGAGCCTGTAATATTATTAGATTGTTGGTTTTTTCAAGAGATGGAGAACTTGTTTACAGAAGTGACCGTAAGTCTTTCTTGCTCTATTGCCGGTGAATCCAAACCATTACTATTGGTATCCCACTCACTGAAGAAATATCATTTAACAATGATCTAATACATTTGACAAGCATGCTACTACTGTTACAGCTGATTGTTGTGTCCCCTACATATCCTCTCAGGTCACTTCAGTCTCCTAATACAACAAATTATTTTGCTTGCCATTAATAGGCAAATCAGCTTAAGTTTTTTATTTTCCTTTTTGAATCACAAGTCACCTCTTGATTATCCAGTAAATTTTCAAATAAAGTAATTTTCCCAAGAAGTAAACTACTGCTAATTTTACTGTAATATTAGCAAAGACTAAATGCCAAGATTTACAAACTTGGGTCTCTATACTTGAAACAGTCTCCCAGCAAGACCACCCCTATTTTTAAATCCTGTGCATTTTCCCCCCCCCTCCCCGCCCCGCCACCCGAAAATCCTTCTAGCCTTGATTTCCTAACCAGTAATCTCTCCATGCCCTTCCTTACTTCACTTAACAATTCAATTAAGTGTCCCATATTTGGTCTATTTTAGATGGCAAACTTTTTAGGGCAGGGACTGTATCTTACTGTCTAGAAAGCACTGTCTAAATTTCTGGCCTTATATAAACAAATTTTAATAATGTCTCAGGCACACAGTGCCTATTTTCAAGTACTTTGGATGCCAGTTAACAATGTATTTGAACTTACCTGATGTAACTATACACCACAAGTTGCCTGTGTCAGCGTTATGTTACGACTGGCTTTAAAGGGCTCAGGATTTGCATTGGTGATCTGTTCCAAATGGTGGCACTAGTAAAGTGCAGATTTCAATATGTGGACGTGCTTCAGGGCCAGCAAGCCAATGGGGGGAACCCTCATTCATGGCACTTCGAGTTTACTATTCTTCTACAGGGGAAAAAATGGAGAGTGTAAAAGTCTTTCTGAGCTTCTTGAGACTTCACAACTTGTCCTGTAAGAATGCCAGCCTACCAACGTCTGAGTATTTTTCATTTGAAATACATACTGAACTGCTTGTGTTCTCTGACATCATGTTCCTACTACCAGTTGAATTCTGATTTTATAGAATTGTAGGACTAGAAGGGACCTCAAGAGGTCATCTAGTCCAGTCCCCTGCACTCATGGCAGGACTAAGTATTATCTAGACCATTCCTGACAGGTATTTGTCTAACCTGCTCTTTAAAATCTCCAATGATCGTGATTCCGCAACCTCCCTGGGCAATTTATTCCAGTGTTTAACCACCATGACAGTTAGGAAGTGTTTCCTACTGTCCAACCTAAACCTCCCTTGCGGCAACTTAAGCCCATTGTTTCTTGTTCTATCCTCAGAGGTTAAGAAAAACAATATTTCTTCCTCTTCCTTGTAATAACCTTTTATATACTTGAAAACTGTTATCATGTCCCCTCTCAGCCTTCTTTTTTCCAGACCAAACAAACCCATTTTTTTCAATCTTCCCTCATAGGTCATGTTTTCTAGACCTTTAATCATTTTTGTCACTTTTCTCTGGACTCTCTCCAATTTGTCCACACCTTTCCTGAAATGCGGTGCCCAGAACTGGACACAATACTCCAGTTGAGGCCTAATCAGTGCGGAGTATTGACTTCTCATGTCTTGCTTACAACACTCCTGCTAATACACCCCAGAAGGATGTTAGTTTTTCTTGCAACAGCATTACACTGTTGACTCGTATTTAGTTTGTGGTGCACTATGACTCTTAGATCCCTTTCCGCAGTACTCTTTCCTGGGTAGGCAATTCCCATTTTGTATGTGTGCAACTGATTTGTTCCTTCCTAAATGGAGTACTTTGCATTTGTCCTTATTGAATTTCATCCTATTTACTTCAGACCATTTCTCCAGTTGGTCCAGATCATTTTGAATTTTAATCCTATCCTACAAAGCACTTGCAATCCCTCCCAGCTTGGTATTGTCAGCAAACTTGATAAGTGTATTGTCTATGCCATTATCTAAATCACTGATGAAGAAATTGAACAGAACCGGACCCAGAACTGATCCCTGTGGGACCCCACTCGATATGCCCTTCCAGGGTGACTGTGAAGCAATGATAACTATTCTCTGGGAGCAGTTTTCCAACCAGTTTTGCACCCACCTTATAGTAGCTCCATCTAGGTTGCATTTCCCTAGTTTGTTTTTGATACTGTCTTGCATGGCCTTCTCATAAGCTTTACTAAAGTCATGATATATCACCTCTGCTGCTTTCCTCCCCAATCCACAAGGCTTGTTAGAAAGCTATCAGATTGATTTGACATGATTTGTTTTTGA